ACCGGTGGGGGCGGAATTTGGGCAGGAGCATCGTGGGGTCCCACCCTGGTGCAGGGATGCTGCGGTGCAGTTTGCTCCTGGGGCGCAGTGCCTATAAGGAGGCAGGGGAAAGGCTGGCAGCGGGAATTGCTGCAGTATTTATTAATTAAAATTAGGTAAATGATCAGGCAGAGGATAAGAAAAACCTGCAGGTGGGGACAGTCATGTCCTCCCTTCGTGGCCTCCCTGGCAGAGGGTGGTGGGGAATAAACCATCACCCCAGTTAAATATGAGCGGCTGCTCCGCCGCTGGCTCCGCTTTCCCGTCGTCGCCGGGAGAACTCGGGGCCGGGAGGTGGAAATAACCGGAGCCCCTCGATTAACCCGGCGCTGGCGCAGCCCGGTGGTAAATCGCCTGTCAGCCGCCAAATGGACCTCGTAACTCTGGGCTTGGAAACACCGGTGAGGCTGCCGTGGGGCCGTCCGATGGCTTTTAGCAACCTCAGGGCAGGTGGTACGCTCACAGATGATGTGCCACGGCTCTGCCGGCAGCACCGGCACCCGGTGCGTTGCTCTCTATGCCGGCAGGCAGCTCGGCCGTGCCACGGGAAAGTTGGGGCTTGGGTGTTTTTAGGTGGCTGCAATGAGCTGCTTGTGCAAATGGCTGGAAGGATGCAGCAACCAGCTCCAAGGATGCAGCAACCAGCTCCAAGGATGCAGCAACAAGCTCAAAGGATGCAGCAACCAGTTCAAAGGATGCTGCAACCAGTTTGAAGGATGCTGCAAACTGCCTGAAGGATGCTGCAAACTGCCCTGCGCTGTACCACGGGGCCGGGGTGGCGAGGATGGGCTCAGGGGGCACAAGAATTGTCTGCTGCAGGGACTGGGGCCGGTGTCACCGGCTGCCCTCTCTCTGCCCGTCCCCGCAGGAGTACCCGCTGTCGGCCCTGGCCGGGACCGCCTGCCGCTGCGGTTTCCCCACCACGCTCTTCACCCTGCACGAGCGCGAGGACGAGCAGCTCTGCGCCCAGAAATGCGCCGGTGAGGAGTTTGAGAGCTGTGGCACCGCCGAATACCTCCTTGTCTACCAGACCCAAGTGCAAGGTGAGCCGGCACCGAGCTCGTCCTTCCCGCTGCCGAGTGGGGGGACAGGCGGGGACCGCCCCGGCGTAGGTGCCGGCACCCATTTCCCAACCTCTTCCCGGCGACACCAGCGGAAAGCGCACGGGAGCTCGCAGCATCTATTTGGCTTTCATTAAAAATTGCCATTTATTTTAATTTCCTGGGAAATCAATCCTCCCCTGAACAAACAGCTTTAATTACTGCCTGACTCAGCTGCAGGGGAGAGCAGTTCGCCATCTGCCTCCAGCAGGATCCCTCCTTGCCGGCGCTTGTCCCTCCTTGTCACCGGCACTCCCGGTGAGCCGGAGCTTTGCCAGCCGGGGGGGAGCGAACTCCGGGGAAAAATACGGGGGGAAAAAAGCTGTGAGCAGGGAGAAAGTCCCTGCGAGGCTGCGCAGAGAGGGCTCCTGTCCCCCACCGCCCCGCAGGTCCCAGCGGCGGGACCAGTGGGGACAGGGAAGCACAAGGCGAGGGGAGACCTGTTACTGGGAGAGGAAAGGGCTGAATGGAGCACGTGAGGACCTAAATTCAGGTGGTTTTGCTTCAGAGCGGCTCGGTCTCAACACCATCCCCGTTTTGGTGTTTGAGGCTGCGCTGGAAACTCTTACGCGTTCACTGAAAAAGCGGGAGTGTCGCTTGGCAAACGCGCCCGTGTTACTCGGCGTCTCCCAGTCACGCAAGCAGCAAGCAGCCGGGAATGGCAGAGAGCTTCCTGCCCACTTCTGAGGACTTTTTGGGGTGTTCAAGACTCTTCAGGGGTGTCCCTATGTGCTTTAGGTAGGACGCCTTTCCCTAGAGCAGCCACCTCCTCGCGCCCTGCCCCAGCATCTTCCCGGGAGGCAGAAGGGCGGAGAGGAACCTAATGGAGTTCAACAAGGGCAAGTGGAGGGTACTGCGTCTGGGGAGGAATAACCCCCTGCATTGGTACAGGTTGGGGCTGACCTGCTGGAGAGCAGCTCTGTGGAAAAGGACCTGGGAGTCCTGGGGGACAACAGGATGCCCACGA